TCAGCACAAGTCTGTAGTAATCATTATGATAAGGTTTAAGAGAATCATGATATAGTAATAGTTAGTATAGTAGGAACATATTTAAAATCAAAGAAAACGCTTACTCAGTGATTTAAACGAGTTGGTCTTGAATTAAAAATCAATTGAAATTAACAAAACAATAAAATGTTTTTATTATTACCTAATAGCTAATTGTAGATCTCTTCTGGTAACAAAGCCAACCCTAGATATTGGAATCAAGGAGAGACCACCACAGGGGAAACCATTATTGTTCTGTCTCCTTCCAACAATGTTTCCTGAAAACAGAAGAAAACTTTATTTCAATAGGCACAACTAGAATTTTGGTCATTTATTTTCTTAATTAAATCTAAAAAAGTTGATTTAATGATGAATATGGTAAATTTACAAGAAATGTTCTTTAGAATAGTTTAAGTTTTCAAGCCTTTCAAAACATTTTTTTCCACTTATTATAAATTATCTAAGAAGATTGTTCATCATTCCAAAGTCAAAACAATCTTTTCTAGCACAGATACTAGTCAAGTTTTTTCCTGGCTAGATTCTGACCAGTTAGCTACATTAAATAATCATAAATAAAAATCACTATTTTGGATAATAGATAGTTCTACGCTGACAGCAACGTACAGACAGGTGAACAGGCTAGCCTGTCTATTATTTAATTAAAAGTAAAGTCAAGTCATCCTAGCTGCAGAAGGAAATTTTAAAAAAGGTAACTTACCTATTTCTTCTAGAGCCATGTTTACCCTGTGTTATAACAACACGTGGTGGGTCAATTTCGTCCTGAAAAATTACAAAATTAGATGTATGAAAAAATGTAAGATTGCAAGAAAAAGAAAATTAAATTATAACCCCATCGGGTAACAAGACAAGAGGGCCATGAATGACCCTGAGGTCGCTCACCTTGTATATAGCCCCCCCCCACCCAACCATAAGAGGATGTTTCATGCTAAACATCTAAGCTTCTTATAGCTCATTTGGGCTTTTTTAAAAGAAAAATTTTTTTTAATTTTTTACTATAAACAATAGTAGTTAAAATCAATGACCCCCAGGGCGGGCCAATTTTGACCCCAGGTCCTTTTATTTGAACAAAAACTTTGTAGACACTCACAGCAGATGTTTCATGCTTAATATCTAAACTCTAGCTTTTGGGTTTTTTCAAAGAAGATTTTTAAAGTTTTTGCTATACACATATAAGGAAAATCAATGACCCCCGGGGCGGGGCCAATTTTGACCCCAGGGCTTTTATTTGAACAAACTTGGTAGACACCTATTAGAACATGTTTGATGCTAAATATCTTAGCTCTAGCTCTTTGAGTTTCTTTAAAAGAAGATTTTTTAAGATTTTACTATAGGCATATAGGAAAAATTAATGACCCCCTGGGCGGGGCCAATTTTGACCCCAGGGCTTTTATTTGAACAAAACTTGGTAGACACTCATTAGAACATGTTTCATGCTAAATATTTAGCTCTAGCTCTTTGGGATCTTTAAAAGAAGATTTTTTAAGTTTTTACTATATGCATATAGGGAATATCAATGACCCCCTGGGGCGGGGCCAATTTTGACCCCAGGTCTTTTATTTGAACAAACTTGGTAGACACTGACTAAATGATGTTTCATGCCAAATATCTAAGCTCTAGCTCTTAGGGTTTTTTTTAAAAGAAGATTTTTAAAGTTTTTTCTTTCGGTTGCCATGGCAACCAGAGTTCTGCATGGAATTAAATTCTTTGAACAATCTTTAAAGGTGACCACCAAAGGACCATTCCTGTGAAGTTTTGATGAAATTGGCCTTGTGGTTTATGAGGAGATGTCATTTAAAGTAAAAGTTTACTGACGCCGGACGGACGCCGGAAGAAAAGCGATCACAAAAGCTCACCCTGTCACTTTGTGACAGGTGAGCTAAAAAATAATTTGTCTGTGAATATAAACAAAAATTATCAACTTGTTAAGAACTATTACCCGTCCCCCTCCCACCACCAGCACACACCCAAATAATCTAGTAAGTGGCCACCCTGATCAGCTATCAACAATAATTCTAAAACATAGCAAACAACTTTACAAGTACAAAGCAATTCCTTACACATAATAGGCCAGATATAGATACAATGTCTGTTCCTCATTTTCAACCAACATTAAGTTTGTACCTGCTCTAACCCAACCATTCATCAAAAATAAAATAAAATCAGAGCTTTGCATAAAATATAGCATATTTTAAGCACTAACCATACTAAAAGGTTTTTGTCTAGCAACCATAACCCATACCTTTTGAAGAAATCATGTGACTAAAAGACATGTTTTCGGCCTTAATGAAAACAATTTTGTCAGCAATAATTGGGATTTCAATAAAATCACAGGGTCAACATGTTTCTATCATATTAACAAAGCACTTCAATCAACATTATGTAACATGTTTATTCTTCATTGAGAAAGTTCAAAGGTCAAGGTTTCTTTTCTAAATGCATGTACGTCCTTTTTTCCTAGCTACTGGGTCTGAAACTAGATGACCAATGTATGCATATCACTATATATATACAGGCATAGCCTTACACTACAGAAAGCTTAACTCTATAAATGTCAGAATCTTATTATAGAATTAAATAACAAACAACGAAACAAATGCTGTAACAATTGTGTCAAAATTATAATAACATGTTTGCAATAACTTAACAAAATGCAATAAAATAAATGTAAGCATAAAATGGTGAGAATAAAATGAACAGGAGTAAAATACAAGCAGTTCATCTATGATGTCAACGATGTAAGTAGCTACAACTTAAGACTTAAGTTAAAAGATACAAATTACAAATGTATTTTTTCATGATAACATGTACTACATGACTTGATCCCATCATATAAGAATGAGAGAATATTATCCCTAATATCTCAACTGGAAAAGGTGCAAGCATAATAATTCTACATTATTATTTTTGATGATGCATACAATTAGGGCAATGGTACACCTTTGGGAGCATATTTCCCCATAAATCATAACCATAATTGAACTATATAACTGTTAATACAAAATCTGAAGCAGGTAAATAAAACATTTGCAGTCTATGAAAACAAATCAATTTTCTAGGCATCATAATCATTAATATCAAAAAACAATGCTGCATTACATGCAGATAGATTCAGTCAGCATTGAACCCTTTTAAATAATCCCTGTGTTTATCAAAAAGACTTGCCTATACAATCACTTCAAACAATGGAAGAATGTACTAAGTCTGACTATCCAGGCAGTCTGACCTGAGACTCATAATGTATGCTTGGATTTTATAATATAAGCATTTTTATATTGATTCCCATTCAATGAACAATGGACAGTTTCTAATTCAATGTAAGGCAAATCTATTTTTTAATCAGGTAAGGTAAGGGTTAAACACTGTTATGTTGAACAAAATCATGATTTCTTGTTAGGTAAACCACAGAAAAGCATGCTTAAGTCATTCTGTATGGCTATCTTTGTCAGGTCCAGTGATAAAGTCATTCTGTATGGTTATCTTTGCCAGGTCCAGTGATTAAGTCATTCTGTATGGTTATCTTTGCCAGGTCCAGTGATTAAGTCATTCTGTATGGTTATCTTTGCCAGGTCCAGTGATTAAGTCATTCTGTATGGTTATCTTTGCCAGGTCCAGTGATTAAGTCATTCTGTATGGCTATCTTTGCCAGGTCCAGTGATTAAGTCATTCTGTATGGTTATTCTTTGCCAGGTCCAGTGATAAAGTCATTCTTGTATAGTTATCTTTGCCAAGTCCAGTGATTAAGTCGTTCTGTATGGTTATCTTTGCCAGGTCCAGTGATTAAGTCATTCTGTATGGTTATCTTTGCCAGGCCCAGTGATTAAGTCATTCTGTATGGTTATCTTTGCCAAGTCCAGTGATTAAGTCATTCTGTATGGTTATCTTTGCCAGGTCCAGTTGATTAAGTCCTTCTGTATGGTTATCTTTGCCAGGTCCAGTGATTAAGTCATTCTGTATGGCTATCTTTGCCAGGTCCAGTGATTAAGTCATTCTGTATGGTTATCTTTGCCAGGTCCAGTGATTAAGTCATTCTGTATGGTTATCTTTGCCAGGTCCAGTGATTAAGTCATTCTGTATGGTTATCTTTGCCAAGTCCAGTGATTAAGTCATTCTGTATGGCTATTTCTGCCAGGAAATTGTGATAAGGTCATTCGGTGTAGCTTATTCTGTATGGTTTTATCTTTGCCAGGTCTCAGTGATTAAGTCATTCTGTATGGCTATCTTGCCAGGTCCAGTGATTAAGTCATTCTGTATGGTTATCTTTGCCAGGTCCAGTGATTAAGTCATTCTGTATGGTTATCTTTGCCAGGTCCAGTGATTAAGTCATTCTGTATGGTTATCTTTGCCAAGTCCAGTGATTAAGTCATTCTGTATGGCTATTTCTGCCAGGAATTGTGATAAGGTCATTCGGTGTAGCTATTCTGTATGGTTATCTTTGCCAGGTCCAGTGATTAAGTCATTCTGTATGGCTATCTTTGCCAGGTCTAATGAGTAAGCCATTCTGTATGGCTACATTGTATTTTTGCCAGTCTGATAATTCAGACATTCTAGTGATTAAGTCATTCTGTATGTTTTGCCAGGTGCAGTAATTAAGTCATTCTGTATGGCTATGTATTCAAATTCCACTTCTATTATGGCTATAATAATTCAATGGTCATTTTTATGGTTATTTCATTGATAGTCAGGCCCAGCTTTTACGACTTGTTTAGATAGATAATGTACATTTACATGTACAATATATTTTAACATTTGAAATAACATATGTGCAAGTAAAAAGCATGCTATTATGTCATTTATGCACTATTTCTTCAAGCATAACTTCTTGTTTCATTAATAACATGCGGCCAAACTTTTCAATATATATCAGTCAATGACAAAAAGTATGTCTAAAAGTGATCATGACAATGTTCAACAAAAACCCAAAGTATTAAACACAGCAAAGTTGCTATAAACACAACAAGGTGACATTCACAACTAACTTACACTTCGAGACCATAGCGCCAACATCTTTACAATGAAAACAGTGCAATATATACATAACAGATCTTTGGTTTTTTTTAACAACTATTATTTTTGATTTCCTACTTTAATTTTAAACATATTTAATTTTTAAAATTTGCTACAAAAAATTATATTAATGGTACAAATAAAAAAGTTCCATCAAACATAATTATCTATTAACAGTTTACTTTTGATGACCCTAAAATTAATGATCAAAAATGGATGTTGAAAAAGTCCATGTTAGAAATTAAGGTGGAAAAAGGTAAAGAAAGTTTATCAAGTTATCAAACTAATTTAAAATATAGCTATCAAATTCTCATAACTTTTAAAGTTGCTTTTTGCAAATTAAATATGGATAGGAAACAACATACATGTACAATGTGCATAATTCCTTAATAAACAAGAACTGTCGGAGGACAGTAACGCTCGACTATTCGAAAATTTGTCACAAGGGTGTTTCATTGAGTATAATAATGGTTACCTATATGAATACATAAAATTGTCCGAAAAGGTACAAACCCTTCAAGTTTCAATATATTCCCTTCAGTAGCTATGGAGATACAAGCTTACACACTAAAACTTAACCAAGAATTTATGAATCGAAAAAGGGGCATAATTATGCGAAAAAGTAAATCAGAGTTATGGGACTTGTGCCAATCATCTTAGATAATCACAGAGATTAAGTGTGTGAAGTTTCAATCCATTCCCTTCAGTAGTTATGGAGATACCAGCTTACACGCAAAAACTTAACCAAGAATTTCTAAGTCGAAAAAGGGGCATAACTATGTAAAAAAGCAAATAAGAGTTATGGGAATTGTGCCAATAATCTAAGATAATCACAGAGAACAAGTGTGTGAAGTTTCAATCCATTCCCTTCAGTAGTTATGGAGATACTAGCTTACACGCAAAAACTTAACCAAGAATTTCTAAGTCGAAAAAGGGGCATAATTATGTAAAAAAGCAAATCAGAGTTATGGGACTTGTGCCAATCATCTTAGATAATCACAGAGAACAAGTGTGTGAAGTTTCAATCCATTCCCTTCAGTAGTTATGGAGATACTAGCTTACACGCAAAAACTTAACCAAGAATTTCTAAGTCGAAAAAGGGGCATAATTATGAAAAAAAGCAAATCAGAGTTATGGGACTTGTGCCAATCATCTTAGATAATCACAGAGAACAAGTGTGTGAAGTTTCAATCCATTCCCTTCAGTAGTTATGGAGATACCAGCTTACATACAAAAACTTAACCACAGGGACGCCGACGCCGACAAATGGGTGACTGCATTAGCTCGATTATTCTGCGAATAGTCGAGCTAAAAAAAACTTAAAAAATCAAAACAGTACAATAAAGATCTCAAAATAATACAGTAAATGTTCTGGCCAACGTCATATTTTTAATTTCCAATCAACCAATGGAATGTGAAAATTTTAGACTGGTTGTTAAAACAAGATCGCTCACCTGACCTATAAATTACTTAGACAAGCATCCTGGCCAAGTTTAAAGACAATTAATTAAAAATTGTGATCACAAGAGTGTAAACAAGATTTTTCCATATTTGGGCCTTGTGACCTAGTTTTTGACCCCAGGTGACCAACATTTGATCTTGACCTAGAAATCATCAAGAAAAACTTGCACATAAATTTCCAGGATATTTGGATAAAAACAGTAGCCTCTTGAGTGTTAAAAAGATTTATCTATTTTTAGCTCCTAAATGTGACCACTAGAGTGTTAACTAACAAATGTGGACAGGCAGCAGACGATGGAAGACGGACGACATTCGACGGACATTCAATGGTCCTTAAAGCACACCCTGAGCTAGCTCAGGCGAGCTAAAAACAACAACAGTTTTATACTCTTTGTAAGAGGTCACTTAATTAGTATTGGTGTCATTTTTATTAGTAAATATGGTTTTAATGAATTACAAATGATTCAAGTTAGCAAAATTTTTCACTTCAATCTAGCACACAACTTTACCTTCTGTTCTTTAGTAATCTATATTTGTAATTATATACTTAAATGACAGAATCCATAATACATACCAGTAAATAAATATTTTATAATAAATATAAATTTGAAACGGTATTTTTGCCATAAACTTATTTCTGGTAGTAACTTAAGGACCACAATTTGTCAGTTATAAGATCTTAAAAGTATGGTGCATATAAAAATAGTTACAGAAAAAAATACAACATAAAACTCCAAATCGACCTGTATCTTGAATTAAAAGTATCATTATACTTTATAATAACTATTTTTGTTAGGTTTCTAATTTAACAGTTGGAAGAAGACCTTAGTTGGCCTTCTGTGCTTTATTTCTGGCATGAGCAGGCACCTGAGTAGAATCACTGATGTTCTGTATACAAGCTGGATAGCTTCCTCACTTGAAAGAATCACCAGACCCAAAGGCAGTATTTGAGCGGTGAGGGGCAAATAGTTTGAAGTCAACATCCTTAACCAATTAGCCACCGATTTTATTTAAATAAATTATCATAAAGTTCCGAAGACTTTATAGATTACCATACACAAATAAGTAAAATAAATGATAAAAATCTGCCAAAAGAAAAATTTGAAGAAGATGATATTATATTCTACAATCACTTAAACTTTAAGAGTACAGGTATGTACCCTCGGAACAAAAACAACCAAATGCTTGTTTTCAAGATTTTTTCTGAAAATAAATTCTATTTTTGAGGCATGCAGTTTTAAAACATACATGTATAAGGTGGTAAAATACACTGAAATTTTCACAAAACTGATAACCAATGTATTATTATGTAACAGGTATTCCATAATCAAACACAAGATATAATATACAGGATTTAATCATGTTAGGTTTTAGAAATATAAAATTACCTTGGACGCATGACGTCTGCTGCTATTGTGGTATGAGTAAACTCCTCTTTATTGTCCAGATATGGATAACCATTTAATCGAATATGTGCGTCATAGCTATATTGTGCGGTCAAGGACAAATTTGCAAATTACATAAAAAATAATATAGAAAAAATATTTACAGTAAAATTGCATTTTATGCTGAGTATAAAGAAATATAACTTTCAGAGCAAAGTATGATCTAAATCACAATGTCTCCATTAGAGGTCTTTCAGTTGTACAAGTGATAGTTTCCAGTTGTAGCATTTGGCATATTGCCAAGCTTTATATTGCTATTTTAATACAATGTCTTGCTGCATACAAAATAACATAAAGCTGCAAGGGTCTTCCACATGACCAAGCCCAATACCTGACCATTGACCTGTCTCACACTAGGGCGTTTAGGGCGCTACTTTAACAACACTATCCCTGTAGCATACTGTCAGAACAGAACAATAAGAACTACAAAATCGACATCAATGTAAGTTGACAAATATTCTCAAGTAAAAGGATACATTCCTTGTTTACCTAAAGCATCCCCAACCCACTTGCTTGCCATGGTGGCGAGCATTAGGGGTACAATATACTGAAGTCCTCCCGTCAGCTCAAACATTATCACCACCAATGAGACTGAAATAATTTACAAACATAATAATCATATAATAACTAAGATAATGAGATATAACTTTTCTCCATTATACAAATAAATAATAATAAATAAACAAATACAGAGCATTCCTTTCCTTATCCTGCTGAATGGTTGTTACGACTTTGGCCTGCTTTGAATCTTGTACAGCCCCTATCAAACTTTACAAGATTTCATTATCAAAAAACAAGCACAGGTTGAACCGGGTGATGCTCCCTGCGTTAGTTTTGGACACAGAAAACTATGAAAAAATGAACAAAGGGCATACACTCCAAAATCAGAAAAAACAGAGTTATGGTTCTTTGCACTGCACTTTTTATTCAATGAGATTTATCTACCTATTAAGTTTTGTGTTGATATCTCTTATAGTTTCAGAGTTATGTCCCGGGTAAAGTTCAAAGTGTAAAAACGAACAAAGGGCAAGGCTGTGTTTAGGGTCTTTAGCACTGCACTTCTATCCAATGAGATCTATCTACCTACAAAGTTCCATTTTGATATCTCTTATAGTTTTAGAGTTATGTCCCTAACAAAGTTCAAGTATAAAAATGAACAAAGGGCAATAACTCCAATAGAAGGCAAGACAGAGTTATGGTTGTTTAGCATTGCACTTTAACACAATGAGATCAATCTACCTACAAAATTTCATGCTGATATCTCTTATAGCTTTAGAGTAATGTCCTGGACAAAGTTCAAGTATAAAAATTAACAAAGAGCAAAAACTCCAAAATAAAGCAAGGCAGAATTATGGTTCTTTAACAATGCACTTCAACACAATAAGATCTATCTACCTACAAAGTTTCATGTTATCATCTCTTATAGATTTAGAGTAATGTACCAGACTAAGTTCAAAGTGTAAAAATGTTTCATGTTGATATTTCATATATAGTTTTAGAGTTATGACCAGGACAAAGTTCCAAGTGTAAAAATAAACAAAGGGCAAAAATTCAAACATTAGGTAAGGCAGAGTTACGGTTCTTGTGCAGTGCAAATCTACTCAATGAGATCTATCTACCTACAAAGTTTCATGTTTATACCTCTTATGGTTTTAGAGTTATGTCCCGGACAATGTTCAAAGTGTAAAATTAAACAAAGGGCAATTATTAAAAAATTAGGCAGGGCAGAGTTACGGTTATTGTGCACTGCACATCTACTCAATGAGATCTATCTTCCTACAAAGTTTCATGTTGATACCTCTTATGGTTTTAGAGTTATGTCCCGGACAAAGTTCAAAGTGTAAAAAATGTTTCATGTTGATATCTCATATAGTTTTAGAGTTATGACCAGGACAAAGTTCAAAGTGTAAAAATAAACAAAGGGCAATAATTCAAAAATAAGGCAAGACAGAGTTACGGTTTTTGAGCACTGCAGATCTACACAATGAGATCTATCTACCTACAAAGTTTCATGTTGATATCTCTTATACTTTTAGAGTTATGACCAGGACAAAGTTCAAAGTGTAAAAATAAACAAAGGGTAATAATTCAAAAATTAGGCAAAGCAGAGTTACAGTTTTTGTGCACATGTACTCAATGAGATCTATCTATCTACAAAGTTTCATGTTGATACCCCTTGTTGTTTCAAAGTTATGTCCCGGACAAGAATAGCGGACGGGTGGATGTACATACAAAATAGCACTTATGTGACTTTTCCTTTTATATTGTCACACAAGGCTTAAAAAGACACACAAGTAAAAACGGAATGAATAGGATCAAAGGAACTGTACTGTTACAGATGGATAGACAAAGCAGCGGCTATATGCTCACCATTCGGGAACCATAATTAAGATTGATGTCTATTACTGCTAAACACATGCAAAGTACCAACTTATCAGTGATACTAAGCAAGGTTTGCCTGTTAATTTGAATACCAAGTCGAGTAAAAACTCACCTGTCATTCTTGTGACACCACCTAAAGCTGCTGCTGCACCAACCATGGCATATAGTCCTGGAGTTATTGCACAATCCGACTGACACATATTTTTGAACAATGGACTATCTCTGTTAGCTCTGTAATAAAATAGATGTGTATATAACAAAAACTTTTATAGGTTAACATACTGAACTACTGAACACAAGTCAATTAAAGTCAATCAAATTAAATCAGAAGTTAACAATGTGGGGAATGTTTCAGTTAAATTCTAGAGTCATAGGCCAGTGGCCAACAATATTGATTGGATCACAAACACATTTCAGGATTCAAAAGCAAATAAATGAGATATGAAGTTGCAAGCATATGTTGTACAAAACAATGTCATTTTCAGAGTAAATGAATCACGGGGGAGGAAGTGTTACACGAGGGATGGAGGTCAAGGAGTTCTTGTGATAACTGTCAAGGAGTTCGTCGGAAAACTATTGTATATACTGCAAAAACACTCGTCAAAAACAGGTCAATACTTGCGACTTGGCAAATAATTTAGCAATTTTACTCAAAACTACCAGATTTTAAGCAAGAGGCGATGAAAAATGGACTATGAATTAGTTTTTGACTCATTATACAACATTTAAGACAAGCTTAATCAATAAAGTTTAATTAAGCACCTAAAACTTACTTTTTAAAGATGAAAATTACCATTTTTGACGAGTGTTTTGGCAGTATATACAATAGTTTTCCGACGAACTCCGTGACAGTTATCAAAAGAACTCCTTGACAAGTTAACATAAGAACTCCATCCCTCGTGTAACTTCCTCCCCCGTGTGAATGTTAATTAACAATGCAGCAGTGGTGAATTTAGGTCAAGGTCTTGGTTACCATGGGTAATATTAGACTTCATATATTACAAAGTTTCTTGTATCATGCCTTAGGCAAATTACTTTACAGAGGGTTTTAGTGATATCTCCTGTTTTAACTAATAATACTTTGATTTTGAATCTGTATTATTTGTTATATTTTTTATGCTTAACAAATCTTTTAGGTGAGAATTGCAAGACTGCTGGTTATGTTATAACCTTGAACTATGGGGTAGCTACATTGTTGTCGCCCTCTGTAGGTGATGATTGTGAACCTTTTATTCCAAAAAAATTAAAAATTTCAGGAGTTAAACAAGAAATGTCGAATGACACATATGCCGCTGATTATCTTAAAAACTATTTAGCACAAAATCTTCATATTCCACATACTGATTGGTCATAACTAGTACATGACCCTATTGATTTAGGGGTAACTAGGTCAAAGGTCAAGGTCACAGGGGTGAGAATGTCAGAATGGTTTCCGCTTATTATCTCAGAAACTATTTATCACAAAGTCTTCATATTTCTCATATTAAAAAAAAGATGTTTTTACGTTTGACTGTTGTGCTCTGCACATGGTGTCATCATGTTGACCATTTATGCAGCATTATAAATGTTATGGAGCGGACACAAAATGTAATTTTTAACACTGAAACTTTACCTTTGTAGAAGCAACCCAATTATTGCGCTCTGCACATCATGTCATAATGGTGATCACTTGTGCCAAGTTATTAAAAAAAATCAGCTTTTCAAAAGTTGTGGAGCATACACAAAAGTGATTTGAATGGACAGACCAATAGCGGTCATTCCTATAATTCCATCTTGCTTTCCAGGAGGGGATCAAATTTTACAATCTTGAATTGTCAGTAAGCTATAGAGGGGACATGCAAAATAGATGTTTTTAACATTGTACCTTTGAGTGTAACCTTGACCTTAAGAGTAGTGACGTGATTGTTGTGCTCTACACATGGTGTTAAAATTGTGATCATTTTTACCAAGTTATCATTGAAACATTACACAGGTTTAAATGTTATGGAGTAGATAGTTTAATACTTGACCTTTACGTGTGACATTGATCTTGGGGGTAGCAACCAAATTATTGTGCTCTGCTCATGATCACTTGTGGTAAGTTAATTCAAAATATTTTCAGTGGTTTAAAAGTTATAAGCAGGTACAAAAGTGTTAGGGATCAAAGTACGGACTAACAAACTGAGGCAATTCCTTTAATCCCCTCTCTGTTTTGCGGAAGGATATTAATAAATTGACAACTTTCATGACTTTTTTTTCCTTTCCCAAAAACCAATAAAATTTTCCCAAAGGGTTTGCCCCAAACCCTTCCAAAATTTGGTATGAAAAATTTCCTGATGGTCCCCTTAAATAGACAAAGCCCTACAAATAAAACAAAGTTAGGTGAAAAATTAATAAACATGAAAGAAAATCAGGAAAAACTTTTAAAATTATGAAAATATTGTCACGATCTGGGGAAAGTGACTTTGCTGTCTTCGCTGATGTTTTTTTTATCCCTTAGTTATAAAAAAACTAACCTATTAAAAATTAGTAAAAACTTCCCCAAAGAAAAATTTTTCCGTGGGTTAAGTTTATAATTTTTTAAAAAAGCACTGATTTTGGGCCAAAGGTTTATAAAATAAACCGGTTAAACATGAAAGTTTTTCTAACCCCCCCCAAAATTTTTCCTTTTAAAAGTTTTAAAAATTTGAAATTTCATAAAATTCACACAAAAAAAACTAAAATTGAAAGTAATTTTTTCCTTTTCAACCCAAAAAAAAATTTTTTCACTTTTAAAAATTATTATAAAATTCCAAATTTGTATTTATTAATTAATATAAAAATTGCTTTGCTTTTCAGAAAAAAATCACTTAAAATTTTGTTTTTAAACAATTTTTTAAATAATTGTTCCCCTTAAAAAATTTAAAAATTAATTTCAAAACCTTTCCCTAATTTTTAAAACTTTCAATTTAAAAACTTTTCAAAATTAAGTTTAGGGGGGCCCGGCCGAAAAACAAAATTTGGCCCGGCCCCAAATAAAGGGCCGTGCCCAAAGTTTAGAAAGAAAATTACAAAACATGTATAAATTTCTTTTATAAAAAAACAGTTTTTCAAAAGGGGAATTTAAAAAGTTTTTCAAAGATAAATAGCCCGCTTATTTTAGTAAAAATTTAAAATTTTATAAAAGGCTAAAACAAAATTTAACCAGCTTTAGTTTTTACTTTAAAATTCTGAACTTTTTGACCCCCCAAAAAGCGGCAACCCCAGCCTATTTATACTAAATCTGAAACCCCGAACCCAAAAAATTTTGCCCCAAAAAAATTTTTTATGACACCCCCAGAAAATGGGGGTTGGGGCCAGGGTTAAATGACCCCCCAAAAAAAAAAAAAAAGTCTCCCTTCCCAACCCCCAAATTTTGCAAAAAAAAGAAAATTTAAAACCCCCCTTAAAAATTGGTTGCAGCCTTAGAGAAATTAAAAAAAGAGCCCCTGTTTTAACAATAAAATATGGCCATCCCCCCGGCCCAAGGTCTACACTACGGTTTTTAAAAAGTTAAAAAAACTTTTTACAACCTTTTCCCCCTTTACAATGGGCCCGGGGTTTAAATTTATCAAATTTTTCTACAAAAAACATAAGTTCAACTGTTTAAATTTACCCAATAAACAAATCCACAAGGTTTTTTGCAAAAAAAAAGGGGTTTCCAATTTTTAAAAGGGTTAGTTAAATGTGTTTAAAAACAATTTGTAAAAATTTCGATTTAAAAACAGGGATTTTAAAACCAGTTACGGGTGCAAAAGGAAAAACCATAGCCCTGTTTCTTTTCCCAATATTGGGCAAAAAAAACCCCCCCTTGGGCACAATGTTTTAAAGGAAATTTTTAGAAAGGGAAAAAAAAAAAAAAACAAACATTTTTTAAAATAACAGCCCGGGAAAATTGGGAAAACCACAATCAACCTGAAATAAAAGGGGGAAATTTCAAAAAGGATCCCCAAAACCCATGTACGGGCAAAACTAGTTTTTTAAGCTATTTTTAAATGAGTTTTAAGGTTTTGCCCATTTTTAAAGCAAAATTAGCCTAAATTTTTTGTGTTTTATAGCGGGGTTATACCCCCAAAAATTTTGCCCAAAAAAAAAAATGGAATGTACCTTTTATGCCAACGTGTCAGACTCAAGGTAAGTGTAAATAACATTAACTTGTAGAACTCTACAATACCCCCTTGTTTTTATGGCTAAACTCCTGTTGCCATATCTATAAATTGACTTAAAACTTAAACAAGACTTGTAAGCACTAATCATAAAGACCTCAAACTGCTTTACACTGTTAACGCGAAATTTTACATTACTAAGCACAGTCTCTATTAAACACAAATCTTAATGTTCGGAAATCCTTAAATGTTTCACTAATTTAACGCGATAAGTAAAGTCACACTATACACTTATGTCCGATAGTTAGTTCCAACCATTTAAAAAAAAGTTTAAAAGAAAAAAGTTTGTTCTCTCGATATCCGAGACGTCTCCGTGGTAGACTGCTTAAAAATGGTCATCCGAATATTCCTTGACCTACCCTCTCAATGCCTTACATCCTGGACTAGCATTGGAGGGGCCTTTCGTTTACACTGCGACGATTTATCCGCACATTTTTTTCCCTTTGTCAGACAGTGTCGGACCCGCCAAAAGGCGAGCGCTTTTTTTGAAAAGGTAACCCGGGATCGTTGGGCACAATTCCCAAATGTATTAAATAAACCCACTTTTGGGGTTTTTGCTGCCAATTTTGGTTTTACTTTTTTCTCTATGTTCAACCCCTTTTCTTAATTTTGTTTTTTTCTTAAAATTTACATTATTCCATCTTTATCGTCTTTTTATTCTTTCCTGTTTTTGTCTATTTATTTTTTTAGTTTCATTTTTGGGGAAATCTTTTGGTTTCGCTAAAACCCTTTTTAAACATTTTCTTCGCTGCCCTTAATTTGTTATTATCATCATTTTTTCCCTTCCATTTTACTTAAATTTCAAATTTTCGGGTTTCGTCCTTTTTCCCCAATAAATTTAATTTAATTTTTGTGACTTCTATTTAATTCGGGCCTGTTCTCTGCCCTTTCTGTGCTTCTTCTCCATTATCCCTCTCAAGGGTTTTGGGTCATTTCTATTCACTTTCCCTTTCCCTTTTCCCATGCTTTTTATTTTGTACCTTATTTTAAAAAATATGTTGATTATTTACCCCTAAATTGACCGGGACTTAAAATTAAAGCCTGCTCACCCCCGGAAAAATTTAA